ATATTATATCGGTTCACTCCATGTATATAGCTCGAAAATCAATAATTACTTAACAATTGTATCCGAAGAACAGAAGTATTTGTTCAAGTTGTACGAATATCAGTATCCTAGATTCAACTCGTTTGAACAGATCAATTGATCATTGTATGTAGTTCGATTCATCTCGTTTGCTTTACACTTGGACTGCGCAGAAGAGGCGGTTGGGACTTGGTGTGGGCCCTACCTGTCCCTGGTCCTGTCCAGTGAAAAATACCATCGGCAACTGGCAATTTCTAAAAAAAACCACTGATTGTGAGTCCAGGTACTGCACTTTGGTGTGCAGGTGGACCCACACAGAGTTTCACTTCAAATTGTGGCAGAGTTTCACTCAAATTCTTGTTAAAAGACCTGTGCATAGAGACTGGCACAGATAGGCACTCCAGGTTGGCTCAACTAAAGTTTGGCCTCCATTACAGCATGGTTTCAGTTTTGATTCTTGGTTATACATGAAGCATCGGAGGAGCAACCTGAGACAAGACAATGTTTATGCCAAGTTTTATGCACTACCAGGTCCACCCGTCAGCAAACCTGACTTTCATCACTAAACACCTGGTTAGTTTAGGTGGATCTTCATCAAATGTTCATGATTCGCTGGGGTCCGCTGCCTTTTCCCATCGATTTTCTTCGGTTCCCGTCAATCATTGCATGATATCGCATGTGTCATGAGGAGAACAAACAATTAACTTTGCTGCAATGACCTCCTTTTGATCCTTTTGGCGGGCCTTGGTAGACCTTGATCCCATGGGCCACCTTCCTTCCGAACAAGAAAGGCCCTACTGAATAATCGGCCGCCTGCACCCGCACTGGCGCAGGTGCCGACTACCCGCTCCGATGGATGTACACAGATCCGTTGCGTGTGCGGCACCGAGTGGAGCTGGCAGGCGCGACGTGCACGCACGGAACGTCCGGTTCGTGCTGGCAGGTGCACCGAGCGGGGGTTCGTCCGTTTGGCGCTGAAAGTGGCGTGAGAACCTGCATGGGGATTCACAGGACCGGGATAAAGCGGTTTTGTAGGAACCCGACCCCAGGCGCCGAAATCCGTGTCGAACTCACCTTAACATAAAGGGTATACAGTATGTGACACACACGCTTTGGACGCGTCGAAACGACCACGAAGGGGGTCGTCGGTGTCGGTGCGGTGAAGGGCACTGGACCACTGACGGAGAGAGGCCAAACACAAAGCCCGGTTTTGAGGGTGACTTGGTTTGGTTTTCTGTTCTCACCCGCAATCGAATTCGGGTGTTGTGTGTGCCCAGAAAATGCTGCGAAGCAAAGAACTCGGCCACCTCTGGGTTTGGGGCATAGGTTGGGTTTGTTAGATGATCCGTGACAGTCAGTAAACAAGAACATCATTATTTCGGAGAAAGGCCTGCAACCTAACCATCAACTGGGCACCACTGAGTGAACATCTCCATAATTCTGTCATATATACCTGCAGCTGGACCCTCCCACAGGTGTTTCCCGGCAACAGGTGTCCAAAAACCACCTCTTGTGGTAGTTTTTGGTCTTTGCACCAGGACCTCCCTTCACCTTCAGACCCCCTTTTGGAACATATTTTAATCTATTAAGATCTATTATGATAAGGATCGAGGCAACCGAACAAAACCGCTCCTTCTTCGGGTTCAAAGCTGCCAGGAACGCGAAGACGGGCCTGGCCCGGTGCACATGGGAGTGCATGATGACGACGACTTCGAAGATGAGAGCGATGGAACGGGAGCCCAGTGGCCATCCGTGGGACTGTTATTGGCGGAATTTAGCGAGCCCGGCCTCCACCAAGCCAAGCCTCCAAATCCACCAGCAAAGAGCTCGTCCTTGTGGTCCGGTCCTTCAAAATCTGAGGAATTTAAGGGGCCAGCGAATCCGCCGACAAGTCCGTCATGTTGGACGTGTGGACCAGCCCGCCCCTCAAAGCAATGGCCTCAACCCGAGTTACGACAACCCCCAGCTATGGATGGTTTCTTGGCGGCTACAACCATCCGTCCATCCTGTATAGTCCAGACACTCCCTGGTGAGTCTTGAACCGCCTGTAGACACTCCACCCCAATCTAGATCAACCTGCCCGTCCTGGTGTTTTGGTTTCTCTTTTTCGCCCCAACAATCCATGGGACTGGAAGATTCAACCTACATGGACCTACATTGACCGACCCCCCAAAAAACCATCTTCAAAGCCATCCCAATGTCAAACCTTCCATCCATGGATTGCTTGGGAAGGCAGCCATGTCTGACCCTCAGCTTCGCCCACCGCTTCGCCCACCGTTCCAGGCTCTGAGGAGCGGCCGCACAATATGTGTGAGCTACTGAGGACGGTGGGCCCACTGTGTGTTGACCTGGGTTTTGTGTTGGTCGGTGGATCATAAATCCGCACTTATCCGCACTTCTAGGCCATTCACTGCTTCCAAGACCATTAGTCATTAGTATTGTAAATATAGTGTACATATAGTGTTGACCTGGTGTTGGAGGTTGAATCTTTTGGGTTGCTACACGAGAGGCGGAGAGTAGGCGGAGCTAGCTACCTACTACCACCACCACCACCTACTACTACTACTACTACTGCTACTACTACTACTACTACTACTACTACTACTACTACGACTTTAAGGGGTTGAGCGACCGAAAGCACCCAAGCCAACGCCGAGCGGCTCGTCGCGTCGTCCTCCGATCTGGGAGCGCAAGCCCTGGTCCACCATGTAGCGAACGACCGACCGTGCCCTTTTCCGGGCTCCTGGTGTTTGAGCATGTCCACGCCATAGAGAAACCCATCAGGAACAGGCTGGTTGAAACGGGATCAATGTAGGTAAATGTTCCAGTCTCACGGAGTTTCTGGGATTCGGAAGCTGATCAACGAAGGAGTGAAAGGAGCTTGCCATGTCGTCTAGGCATCTCTGGCAAGTGACACATTGCATGTTTTGGTTTTGGACCACTGGTAATGAGAATCGAGCCCTGAGCGTCGAGGGCTAGACTGCAAGAGAACTCCCAACCAAACCCTTGGCAAACACTGAAGAAGTCCTAAAAACTGTCTTATAAGTCATGTGTTTATTGGAGTTGTGTTTTAACAACAATATGTTTTTTGTATTTTTCCGTGACTTCGTACATCTTCAGTATTCTACCGTGCTCAATGGTGGCCGCCAAAAGAAGCAGTGGGCTCACATTGGCCGCCACATGCCGCCTTTCAGCCATTTGTTGGTGGGAATTCCGTGGGTGTTTGAACCCTTTACGCCCCAAGAAGATTCAATGTTTTTGCTTGGGTTTTGACTTTTTGAAGACCATGTTTGGGTGGTTTTTGTTTTGGTTTTTGAAGATTCCTTGTTTCATGTTTGGTAAACCCAAGGGTCCACAGTTTCATTCTACGGTGTTTTGTCCTGTCCGGTGTCCGTTTAGGACTGGGTTTGAAGGTCTTTTGAGCCACAACCTCCGGACCCGAAAAACGCATCATTGCCGGCACCGGTGGAAAAGAACACGCACGTGTTCCGCGTCGTTGCCTGGAATGAGGAGACAAACGGCCTTGGAGTTGGCATGCATGAATCCCAAGTTGACGAATGCGAAGGCCGAGAGATGCGAAAAAGAGCTGGGGAGAGTTCTTGACAAAGCTATATACAGTACGGAACAATTACGTTGTGTTGTTTCAGCTGAGAAAACAGGGTGGATGGCATAGCGGGTGCCAAGGAGGGGCCATACACACACGTCCCATTTACTCGCGGGTGAGTACAATGAAAGGTTGGAGTGGTTGGGCTATCCAGGCTACCCCCACCTAGACCACCGCAGTTAATCTGGATTCTGCTTGGTGGGGGTGATTCGGGGGTGGCAAGCCAAAAACGATAGGATTGTGCCATGTGCCAAAGTATGGATTCCCAAAACGGGACCCAAGGATGTGTCTCGTACATGGAGGCCAACACTATTGGGGCAACCGTTTCAACCGGTATCCTTCCCCGGGGGATTCGGTCGAAGGCCTGGCCTTGCAATTCGTGAAATCTACGTTGGTGTTCTGTGGGGAGGATGCCTATGGCTGTTTGAAACATGGTGCGAAGGTCCTCCACAGGGGCTTCATGCTCAACCGGAATGCCTAGTTGCTGCGCAATTTCTTGCCATGACACAAAAAGGGCAGGCGTGGCCATCTGCGGAGTGTCAGGACACATTTTGCCCACGTTTCTTGGCCATTTGCTGTTTCAGCATTTGACGCAGTCGCGTTGTCAGGATGTTCGATCTGATTGAGATCCGTACGGTGGTTGAGTCTCTCAACCCCCAGGATACCCTTTCAGACTGGTGGAGCGCCGCTTATCAGCGGAAACAGTTCCCAAAAGGAGATAGGCAATACCTTAAGCCTTGCTCTCGAGAAGGATCCTTCTTTCTCCAAGTGGCACTTGAATCACCTGAAGTTGCGAAGAATGCTTGGAGCCTAGAGCAAGGGCGGTTGGTCCTTTTCATTGATCTCCCGCACCTGTTTGGGGTGTATAAGTCGTCATATGATGTGGCGCAGGGAGTGACTTGGGGCCAATTAGGTTCTCGCCCAGGGAAGCGAGCAGGGGCCAACTTTGATAGTTGGCAATCAGTCCTCGGGTTGGTGATGTCAGTTCTTCAGAGAGCTGAGGACTTAATGATTGCCCTGCCAGCTAGAAAAGGCACAGGTTGCCGGGAACTCTTGGGTCTCCGCGATTTAGGGCTCAAAATCGCCGAACAGGAATCTTTAGAGCCCCAGATTCAATTTGAATCGCATTTACCCGTACTCTTTTCCAGCCATAGCTAACCTACGTGGAAGCCCAAGCTGGCATAGGAGAGCAAGGAGAAAACGCAGCTGCGCGAGGAAGCTTATTGCTGTCCACCGCAACAAGGGGTTTCTCAAAGCCACTCTTCTGAAGAGGATCAAAGCTGCAAAGGAATTGCTGGAACTACATCACAGCAAACCACAGTATAAACTGACATTCCTTGAATCTTTGAAGCAGGAGGTTGTCAGTAAGAGAAAGGCCATGTCATGGAAGAAGTCAGGACAATATGGCAGACAGGATCAGCAGTGGAAAGACACCCAATGGGGATGGCCCAAAGGATCCAAGCAAGATCAGCCGAAGAAGTCAAAGGACGAGAACGGCATGATCATCTATGGTTACGACGGAAAAAAGGTGGACTTAAAGCAGTTTACTGGTGGGCAGTCATCTTCTGGCTCATCTCAGTCGCAGGCGGAGCAAACGCTCCGAGAGGAGAATGCGCGCTTGAAAACGGCTGTGAGACAAGCTCTGGCATCCAAGCCAGTGGAAGATTTGATGGAGCTGGAGAAGATGAGTCAGCTAAGCCCACGCGAAGAGCTCAGGGAGCGTCAAAAGCTCCTGAATCAAGAACGCAAGAGCTTGAACAGAGCGGCAAAGATCAAAGAGGACATAGTCATAGAGAAGAAAGAAAGGAAGTTCGCTTCTTGGCGAACTGGCATGAGGGGAGGCCTCGAAGAAGAGGAACGGCGACATGCCTCGATCATGGCCGAGATGAGGACAGAGCTCCAGGAGGCGGAGAAGGCCAAAGACGAGAATATGGACGAGGAGCCCGAAGAGAGACAGCAGTCGGAGGATCCAAGGATCGATGCTCTGACGGTAGAACTGGAAGAGATGAAAAGCCAGTTCTCCCAGATGATCACCTATACAGCAAGAATGGAGAAGCAGAACCAGAATCTTGCCGATCAGGTGCAAGCGCTCGTGACGGCTATGAGCGGACAACGTCTGACAGATGGACTAAGGGATTCTCCACAATAGCCAGTCCGTGGAACCCCAGCAGCGAAGCGCTCTGGGGGTTTACCAGACGAAGAAGAGCGCCAGCCAAAGCATGGACGATCTCGCTCGCCCAAGAAGAGTCCTGCCAGAAGCTTTCTGGCCGAAGACGATGCTCCAATGGAAGAAGAAGAGATCAAGCAGATTTTACAGAAGGTGTCAGAGAATGCGCAGATGATTATCCTCAATATGAGGAATGCGGAGCCAGAAAAGTACAAGTCTGCCAAGGCAATGAAACAATTGATTGGAGATGTCCTCAAAGAAGAGAAGGCGGCGCAAAGGGCTGCTCTTGCGGCCAAGCCGGCTGGCGAAGTGATCGACATGGCAAGCAATGCACTTGTCCCATTCGGGAAAGCCCTGAAGGGGCGAGACAAGACGAAGGGACCCTATGGGGACCTTCCACTCAAGGAAGAAGGGGGCAACCCTTTCTTGCAGCTGTCGCCAGTCACAAATTCCAAGAAGCCTGGCGGGACCATCTTGGCGCCAGCGGAAGTAACGCATGGGATGGATTAGGGCCATCTATGTTTCCTGAGGTTGTGGCATGGGTTGGGTGCGCCAATTTTGAAGGCTGCAGCAACCCTTGTTTTCAGTTTTGTTTGCGTTGTAGAGAAGTGGTCATTTTTAATGCCCAGTACTCTTCAAGCCCACGACACGGTCAGAATTTTAAGACTGACCACCTTCAACACGGGGAGATCGAATCTTTTGATCTGCGAGACTTGGATGTCTCAGAAAGTTCTTGGAATCTTGGAAGTGATTGCTTGAAAAACAACTATATAGCTTCCAACATTGGGTTGCAGAGCCAGGATTTCCGATGTGAGAAACAACTAAACAATTTAGATCCTCGGCGTGGAATAGTGGCCCACTACGGTGATAAGCTCGGGTTGTTGGTGTTGAGCGATGGTGATTCTGCACTGCTTGTCACAGCTCAACTCCATATCTTACTGGCCTCAAATCTAGGGAAGCAAGGGTTGGGTAGTCAGTCCCCCCCCACCGAGTCTCCAGTCCACAGACAATCATATTTCAGTAGGAGTCCCTGATTTTAATTTAGCTATCCATGATCAACATCCATCCACTTTTTCTGGGTATCCGGTGGGCACCCAATCAAACGTGATCGTATTATGGTTTAAAACATGATCAGCATTGATGCACAACTTCAGTAGAATGAGGTAAGGAACTAGCCAAATGCAGCCAATGTTTTGGTGGCTGGAAGGGTGTCCCGGAACCCCAGACAATTTTCCCAGAGCACCACCCAAAACAGCCCAAAAAGAGTAGGCCAAAGGTACCTGGACCCGACCTTCTTCGTACCCTGGAGAATGGGACATGACCCTGTTCCACAGGTCGTGCGGTACTCATTTGTCGGTACTTTTTGTTAGAGGTACGTACATACATGTACAATCTGGAAATGTCCACAGTCCTGGCTCTGCAACCTTCTCACAGTCCTTTGCTTTGTAGCTGCTTAGGGCAGCCTGTACGCAGCCCAGGGTGCTTAGGGGCTCAATTTGCCCATGGGTCCTTCAGATGTGAAGGCCCCCCTTGTAGTTTTCTGGAGAGCTCGAAGTTATGCGGGTGTGGTTTCTACACGTTTTTGTAGTGTTTTTCTTAGATTGTGTCATGTTTTGAAAGAGTTTCCACGGTTGCGGTCTAGATAGGTTCTTGTGCTCCTGTTTCCCAAACAAAACCAACTTTTCTTTTTTTTTTTAAAGCTCTGGATCCGACTCTACCCTTCCTTGCCCATAGGCATCTCATTGTTTCAAAGGTAGCACTTTTTGGGCTTCTCCCTCCACATTCTTTATGAAATGGAGAGAAGATCATTATCTTGAAACACAAATGTGCCCACCAGCTCCAACAAAAGTTGAGAAACTTGCTTAGTAGTACTGGACCTGGATGACTGATTCCTTCTTGACGCCCATACCTATAATAAGCCTCATCCCAACTGGCTGTGTGGCCACGACTCATTCCCTTCACCCCAGCCTTCTTGCCCACACATAGACCTACATGAAGTCAGGTTGTACCAAACCTGGCATGCTCAGCATGCTCCCAATGTTCACCCAACATTGCCAAGGACGAAGGAAAAGTGCTCGTGGAATTGGGCAACTATTTATCTTTTTTTGGCGCCCCCCCCCGCCCAGAGAAGCCCAGGCCCAGGCCCCAGTTGCTGGAGATTGAGGCCTCATTGAGATTGGAGGTCTTGGAGACCAGATCCCCCTCATAGAGGTGATGACCTGATGATGTATGATGTGATGTCATGGACTTTCTGATAGATGATGGTTGATGGACTTCTGTGTGGGAATCATGAGAGCTAGTATTTTTGCAAAAGCTTGATGCGAGATCTGACAGATTACACGTCGACATTTTTGCTAGACACATTCTGCAAAACAACCAACATTTTTCAAAAACGTAGAATAACCACAAACCACAAAAAACGCGCAAAAAACACACCCGTATAACTTCGTTTTCTGAATAACTATGTGCCACTGGCTGGGTCCTGCACCACTTGCCATTGCCACTGGAATTGTCCGCAGCCCAGCATGCTTAGGGGCTCAATCTGCCCATGGGTCCTTCAGATGTGGAGGCCCCCTGGAATAAATATGTGCCACTGGCTGGCTCCTGCACCACTTGCCATTGCCTTTGCAATTGTCCACAGTCCTGGCTCTGTTACATTCTCACCGATCCCCCTAAGCTCTCACTAGGAGGGGAACCTATACTTGGACATTCAACGCAAAATTAATTCAAACACTTGGTTTTGCATCCAGATGTTTAAGAAATTTTAGGAATTATTCCTGAATGTGAGTGACATACCAATACCAGAATAATTGCCAGCATCGATGTGACTAGGGTCATTATAAAATTATTCTAGGGGGGCCTTGAGAGGGGGTCCCCTTAAGCCACGGCCCATGGTGATTCCCCAACTTCGCCAGTTCGCTTGGACCTTCCCCGAACTGGTGGGATCTCTCCGCCGTCTCCGTGGTCGGCTCCGGAAATGGAGGGCTCCGCGCTCCACCGCCGTCGGTCGCGCGTTGGTCGATGGCAGGTGATTGATTTGTTGGCGAAAGCACCGGAGCTGAAGAGAGGCGTCTCCAGGAGCGCTAGCAGCCTAGCGCGCAGCATAACCTGTGGTGGTTTATGGTGGAGGGTGGATGGTCCATAGTTGGTGGAGGGTGGATGGTCTGAGCACCGGGAAGATGGCAGAGGGTCTCGAAGACGAATTGAGTCGTGTGCAGAACTCAGACATTTTGCTGCTTCATGCTGCTTCAAGGCTTCAGCTGAGCCTTCATGGCTTTGTCAGGAATAGCAGCGAGATATCAGCTGCCAAGGTCAGTAGCATTTAGGGTCCACACTGGTGACCTCACGTGGCTGGCCAGCACTGATCGCCAGTGCGCCCTGCATTGGATTGCTTCAGCCATCCAGTCGAGATCCACGCTGGGGGATTGTTGCCCCCCCCCCAGAATCTCATGGACCTGAAGCAAACTTCTACCCTCTCCCCAACAATCATGATTACGTGGATGGCATGGCCCAAATACCATGAACTTCACCGACTGTTTGAGGGGCCATCCGCGCAACCATGTGTGCGTGTCAAGGCAGGGTGTGATGGGGGTCCAGGGTCCTGTGCAATGAACCTTTTGGGGATCTTTGGGGGTTCGACCCAGACGCGACCTGTCTGGGACTGCCATAGGACTGCCGATCAATTGACCCCCAAGTCACCACCCCAACTGATCGGTATATATGCCAGTCCCATGGAGTGTCTGGGTGATGGTTCCATCTTCAGATCGGAGAGGAACCTTCATCTCCAGCTGCTACCGCCCCAGGAGTCGCTCCGAACAGGAGGCCGGGACGGAGGGGCGGACGTGGGGCACCAGATGTGAACCGTTCAGTGGGCCGTACAGTCGTTCGTTTGGTTTGGAGGTCACCCCATCTCGTGCAATTCTCAGTACCCAAGCTTATTCAGCTATAGAATAGTCATGAATAGTCATACTCTCAGCACATTCTGCCATGTGCCTGGTGTTTGCTTGGGCCTTTGCAGATGTGTACCCTGAAAATTGTCATAAGCATCTCCAAGTTGCGTCATTGCTTTTAATTTTTGTTTCGACAGGAATAGATATTGGTTACTGGTTTGCAGCAGAATTCTTCTCAGCTTGAATCATGCTGAGCAAGCGTGAAAGACACGGAGGGGTAGGTGAAGGCGACGAAAAGAACTTGAGAAAAGACATCTGGACCTCCCAACAATTGTTTTTTGCAGTGGATTTGGCACCTCTTCAGGTCCGGGATCGATTTCATGGGCTGGGCAGTTTGGGGACCTTGCAGCGGACCCACGGCCACGGGCTTCTAGTCCCCAGTCAGGGCATGTCCTGGCAACGAAACAGCTGTCAGGGCTCAGTTTTGGTATATAAATGGTGTCGTTCTTCACAGCTCTCGGCCTACCAAAGGGCACATTGGTTCGGGAGACCGAGGTCCCGCACGACCGCACGACCTACCGGGACCGACCGTGAGAAAGCGGACCGGTCGTGGTGGGTCACGACCCATCCGACTTTTTCTAGCTGGGGCATGCTGTTTAGCACCAGAAGCTATTCCCAGACACGACCTGTCTGGGACTGTCATAGTACTGCTCAATTGACCCCCTCTGTGGCACCACCCCGGGCCCGATCGGTCAATCAACCAGTTTGGGATGTTCGCTTGGAGGCCGCATGCCAACGCCGTTCGCTTGGAGGCCACCCCAACCCGTCACACCGGACTGCGACCGACCCTTTCGGCTAGGCCACGAGAAGACCCTCCGACGCGGCGAGCCCAGACCGCTTCCCCGCTTCGCTTGGGACGGCAGACCTCGAAGGGGTGGAGATGCAAGGTAGACCTCCTAGAGGTGCCCAGGGGTGCCCATTCACCACCCCAAACAGGGGGAAGAGGGCTTTTTTTCCGGGGGTCCTTGGAGCAGCACCATCCACGACCATCAATCAACCCAATCAATCCTTAGGGCTCCTGGCCCACCTCCGTTTCGGTTCGCTGGTTGGGGTGGGTGCCAGGGGGGTCTAACCACCGAACCTGAGGATATGGTTGGAGGGACCATTCCTTATAGGGATTGGCACCCGTTTGAGGTGATTGGACCTGACCATGGCGCCGACATCAAGACGAAGTCTCCAATCACCGTACCTAAAGTATGTGGATCTATGGATTAGGATCACCTTCAGATGTGTATGAGATGATCCATGCAAAAGGTGATTGGCATTGAATTTATCTATTAATTGTATAATCCCTCTCTATATGAAGGTCATTGGAGACACTTTTCTGGTTCTCGGAGGGTGTCTATTTGTACCGGAAATACGGAAAACAGGTCACTGTTGTCAAGTTGTGGATCCCTAAGTAATTGAAATCAAAGCCAGAAATGCCAAAATCACGTGAAATGCGTTTCAGCTAGCGGAGCTAGGAGGGACCAGCTCCGTGTTGCGAGGCCAGAACATTTGGACCGAAGTCCTGAGACTTGTGTTCATGGTTCGACTACAGGTGATCCGCGTTCGGGATGT